CAACAAAAAACTTAAAACTGATAAAGAAGAGTGGCACTTTCATTAAGTTTCATTTCAACCCAATTTTTTCTTGGAATTAATTTGAACTCAAAGTTTCTCTTTTAGATCATAGAAATCTCAGCTTTGTCCATACCAGTATTTCCTGCTTTTCATTCTGCTAAAATGTTGAACTCTGTAACACCAATTAAATCTACCGTAAATTAAGTATGTGTTTAATCTTTCTGTGAACTTTGAATGGTATTCTAGTGGTTTCTCTTTTTCTTTGAATTAGATGGAGAGCAGAAGACTCAAGTGATGATTCATGGAATTGAGCCAATGCTGGAAACGCCCATACAGTGGCTAAGCGAACATATGAGCTATCCAGATAATTTTCTCCACATTAGTATCATTCCCCGACCTACTGATTGAGACTCAGCTGTATTGGTATGAGGATCATTCTCAAGCTGGAATTACAAGGGCATGTCAGCTTCTTGCTTCTGTCACTCTTGACAGAGGCAGCCTGACCAGAAAAAGAAAAAAAGAAAAAAAAAAAAAAACCAACAAAAACCCGAAACAAAACAAGAAGTCCTCACTGCTGCAAGCCAAACAGGAAGAGAGATCCTATCATCAGATAAGGGCAATTGGGCTGATCTTATTTTGCATCACCGCTGCTTTTCTTCACCGCTGTAATTAAATCAGTTGCGATATGAAAGAATTTACAGGACCTCTGCAAGTCTGCTGTTTTCTTGTAAAATATAATGAAGCTGAAACTGTCAGCCGAAGAGCAAATGGAAATATGCCACTTGATTGTATTTCTGATTAACAAATAAACAGGGCTGTTTCCTAAAGCGGTAGTGTTTCAACTGAGAGTGGAAACATTGGTTTAATTTTCTAGAAAGTTAGACACTGAAAGATTCAGTTACCAATAGCTTTTTGTAAAAGATCAAATTACTGTAAACCCATCTTTCCTTAATGAGAAGTTCATGTTTACAGTATGTGTATTGGTATGCAAATGATCTTTTAACTTTGATAACAAGCAGTGAGAGATTTTAAAGTAAACCCGTGAGCATGTTTTGTCATTTAAAAACATGCACAACTTAATAATTTACAAATACTTTTGATTTGTATGCTGTCACTGAATACTCCAGTATGTTTATTATTCAAATCAGTTTTCATAGACTAGCAGTGATGTAGGATAATTTGTCTCAACATTTGTCATGGCATTTCTTTGTGCTCATCTAAATTCTACTTTTTTCTGTCAGAATATTTTCTTAATTTAGTTTAAAAAGTTTAAAAAAAAAAAGTAAACGGATGTTGCAAACAATTGTATCCTGCTGTTTATTCCCATAGACTAGAAAACAGTTAAATAATAGAATGATGAACAGATGTATTGCTTTTTAACAATTTTGAATTTTGGAAAGCTGAGGCTTTTCCAAGCTAATACTTCCTTACATCTGAGTTTAGTTTTCTACTGTGGTCCCTGAGCAATCAGTCTGAAATTTGGAAGCTTCTAATCTCACTGCGCAGATTTTTCCTTACTTTAGCAGATGTATTTTTAGGTTATTGGATCGCTTTGGTTTCTGAATGTTTGTTAGCATTGCAGCTGCTACTAGGACTCTACCATTTTTTTTGTGTTACGCTGAATTCATCAAACTGTGCACTGTATTGCTCTGTCTGCCATTTGTGGCTGTTTGTAGCACCAGGCTATGTTTATAGTAGACATATTATCAAATATGTCGAATATTGTCAAATATAAAGAAAGCATGACATTTTTCTTTCAAAAATAGTAGCTGTTCAAGTTCCTACTCAAAGTCTTGGCTTGCAAATGTCCTGGTAACTCCCAGTGCTGTTCCCATTCTGCTTTGTTGCTGTGCTGCCTCTGTGGTAGGATACTTAACCTGTACCTGAAAAAGAAGAAAATGAAAATCAAACAAACATAAGACCCTCTAAGGAGCAAGAGGGGAAGGATCTCCTTGGGTGAGGATAGAATTGAGGCTAAAAAAAAAAGCCCTAAGGGCAGAAAAAGTCGGTAGAAAAATTAAGTAGCGTTTTAAATGTAAATGAGGAAATAGCATTAAGGAAATAGAAGGGAAAAGGTAATAGTGAAATAAACCTATACTGTGCTCTGCGGGTCATGAAGAATTTTTAAAACAAACCATGCTGATCTGTGTTTATGCAGAATTGAAATATAATATTCTTACAGTGGGATGATTTGGTTGAGTTATTCTAATTTCCAGTTCCGTTTGGAATTTTTTGTTACAGTGTTGGATTGGCATCTATAAACTTGCTTAGGCAGACACATCTAAATATTCTGGAGAATTTCAAAGCCCTGCCAATGGATAAAGCAAATATTTTGTAGAGTCTTCATATTTAAAAAAAAAAAAAAAAAGTCTTTTTAAGGATATTTTTTCCATTAATCAGGATAAAAGGCAGTACATTTAAAAAACTGTAAAGATTGAGTTTCCTTTGTTTTAAGGTAAGCTGGAGTAAGTCACTGGCTACTTTAATATATTCTACACCAGCATTTTAAGTATACAGCTCTCTTCTCATGGCCCATATTCGCTAGTAAATCCAACTTTTAAGGCCTAGCATGGAACAAAGAAATAGCTTGGCTTTAAAACATACTCTTTCCTCTTATTTTAACTATTTAAACTTTATTAAAAAATAAAACAAAGTTTGAGTCTGTCTTTATTTCCAGTTAAATAAGGATTTTTGTCATGGAGTGAGAAAAACATTTAATTAATACTCAGTAAGTAGAGGCTTCTTAAAGAGCTGCTTGGGTGATGTATCTAAACAAAAGCACATCATTATAAAAATGAAGTGGCGTCTTTGCTTTACCTGATGTAAATCACATTTTTGTAGTTTCTTTTACTTAGTGTGTGAATAACAATAGCAGCGGAAGGTGCCTTGTGGCTTAATTAAATACCTTTCTTCACTTTGAAATGCTGTAACTTCTGGAAGAAAACAGATTTGGCCTAACAGGACCAAACAGGAGCATAATAAAGAAAATAGATTTCTACTAGTAAAGAGTCAGATGCCATTGCCACTCCTGGGAAGAACGTCAACTTTACATTTGAAGGCCTGGTAACCCTGAAAAATGGCGAATGGGAAAAGATGTTGAACTGAACATGCAGGGTAAGCATAGGGACTAAGGAGAAGGATTTCTGCTGGGAAATGAGTACAGCTCATACAAGGGTGTGTTAATGCTGCTGAAGCACCTGTGATCCTGGCTTCCCATTAGGTACAGAAAATTCAGGAAATTGTTTGCCTGCAGGGGCAGTGGCTCTCACATGGAATATTTTGGAGGTTTCTGACTGCCCCTGTGCAGAAAGGAGAGATTTGGGCTGGTAGAGAGACTGTGCTGCTTTGCTGGCAGCAATGCAAAAGCAGTAGCTGGGAATATGTATCTGTGTGGTTGGGAAATCTTGCAGGAATGTGAAGAAATACTAAATCTTACAGAAAGATCAGGCACAGGAACACACAGTATGAACAGAAAGGAAAACTAGTGTGCTAATTCAAACCAAGTTACTTCTCCACTAAGAGTTTTGGGAGCTGTGAAGGTTAAGTTACGAAAAGGATGAGAGCTGGTCATCTGTGATAGCAGTTGTCGGACTCGGTGGCTGGGAAAGTCCTTTCAGTTCTGTGCTCCTGTCCTGTTCCTCCGACAGCCAGATACCTATCAGCTGATGAAGACTCTTGATCATCACTTCCAGTATTATTTATATCCTGCATAATAATGATGGCCTCGTTTTTTATTTCCTTATACGGTGAATGCTGTCTGAGTGAGAGTGACAACTCCCATGTTTATGGCACTGATAATAGCTGCTGTTTTTTTCAGTTTCACTATTTAGGAATATCTGCATCTTGGCTGTACAGGTGTATTAGCATGCTCTTAGAAGGCTTCTGGGGCTAAACCATGACTCTTCACTTTATGTTTTAAGCAAATGCCACAGCTTGCCAGTGATAATTTACCAAATCAAGGGGCTGGACAAGAAAAAGATAGATTAATCCCTTTTATAGGCACTTTCCAAATTGTACATTTTTACGTGTAATAATTTTAAACTCTCTGAAGAACCTAGATGTTAGTTTGCTTACAAATTCAACAGTAGCTTACAGAATGTATGTATTCATATGCTATTGTATGTGGATGTTCAAACTGATTACATACTTGTGTAAGTCTAATATTAATGTGGATATGTATCAGTTTATGCCAGACAGAGAACCACGTTAGTGATTGTGCTGTTCTGGTGCTGCAAACGGATGAAAAGCGTGAAGTTGGAGAGGATCTCTGGCAAGTACTACTGCTTTTTCCGACTTCAGCCTTCCAGCAAAACCAAAATTACTCTGTCCTTATTGAGACTATAATGTTATTTTCTTGTCACGGCAAAAGTGTATTTCAGGGGAAAATATTAAACCCTTTTTTGATTCAAAATTTGTGGCTGTATTAGAATAATAAGGGGTTTGGAAAGTGACTTTAGCCATGGATTTTAGCAGTCCCTGTTAATCTGGATAGGAAAGAGACTCCTGAAGTGATGTTTTTTCTTTCCTTAGGATGAGAAAGGGTATGCACAGAGGTTCTTAGAATATCCCATCACATATAGAATGGATTTCTGAATTAAAGCAGGTAGGTGTCTATTCTGTGTTAAAACTTCTGGTTTTGAGACAGGGACGGTGACATTTCAAAATGTCACACTAAACCTGAGTAATATCTCTTGAAAGAGAGGTAAAAAGATGTGAAGTTTCAAGTGCTCAGAAGTAGACTTCAGCTTTCTGTACTTTCGAGTTATACTATCAAATTAGCTTGTGGAAGAAGAGTTTAAAATGTGATGTCTTTCCTTCCCTTGCCTTTCATGTCTCCACGATTCAAGTAGTTTAAGTTCTTTTAACTGTGAAATGAAACACCAGTTTCTCTAAACAGTAGATTAAAGAACACAAAAGAATACAAAACTTTTTTCAAATACAGCTATGTAAACATGAAGAGGAGTTTTGTGTAGTTCAGGTTTTTATATGTATGAAATAATTAGCAATTATACAAAGTTTAAAGGTAGGGTTTTCCACGTGGTTTTGATAGTGTTTATGTGGATTAAAACCGCCCAGAGTAGAAAGAGAGGCAGTCAAACCCTATGCTAGGGTTGGAGGTTGGAGGATCTTGACTTTACTGCACTTGAAACTGCTAAAATGCGTCAGATGTTAAAATAGCACTTTCCACTGAAGATGTTTAAGGCCTTAATCCTTGCATCATTTCACTAATATAGGTCAACAGATACAATAAAATGAATACGTTGTGGGAACAAATGTGTGATCTAGTTACTAATACATGTTATATTCTCATCTTAGCATTCACAGTAATCACAAGTATGGTACAGTGGAAATGGTAA